ATTAGTCAAACATTCATCCTTGTTAGTACATTTTATACTATAATTTGATGCTAAGATACATTGTACATTATACACACACACACACACACATTTTTTGATTGCTGAGTGGAAAATTTGGCAAATATATTAAGAGCCAAGGACAGAAGTTTCAAAGAATAAATTACCTACATACACAAAACAAAGATAAACATACTCATATGTTTGGTTTTATGAGTTGAAAACAAAATAAAATAAAATCAATCTTTGTTACCAAGGAGACCTGTACTTTGTTTACAGACACTGTTTGGTTAAGGTGGTTGATCAATAAATTATCATGAAACTTTTCAATGCCAAGTTTACATTTAGAGAGGTTAATATTAGCTAAATGCACAAAGCAAAATTAGCATTTTTTAATAGATATATGCATACACATAACAAAATTAGAAAACACAAACACATAGATTTGATTGGTCCTAGTATTGGCTCTATCCTCGGGGGCAGAGCTACGTCACAAGATGTTCCACGTTGCTAAGACACACACCACTGTACCATGCATTTCTATGGGCTTTGTGCAAGCTGCTGTGGAACGCCGGTCGAAGAGCTGGTGAAAACAGCTAAATTAGAGAAAACTACAAACTCAACTTTGAAGTAATCCTGAACAACCAAATTTATATATGTTACACACGCAGGGCTAATCTTGTTACACTGTTCAGGAGAGTCTCAACAACCATCGCAAAGTACCGTTTTCTGAGAGTTTTCGGTCTTTGTTTTCACCGTGATGGTTGCCAGGTGGTGTAAATGCCAGGATGTCTGCCCCTGAGAATCAGTAGCACATGTACTTTATATGATTCAGGTGATTCAGTATACATTTACAAATCCAGTTTTTGGTTTATGAATATATGATATCATTAGAAAATGAACAATACATGTATGTATAGTATATGTATATGTATATGTATAGTATCAACGCAATCGTACTTGCTGTTTTCAACAAGAATTCAAAAATATCACTTTTTACCAAAAATTACAAAAATATTCACCAAAATTGGAGATTTGAAGATATCTTCATGAAATGAACAAATCTGAGAGAGGTCCGCATGTAGTACCTATATGTATAATCAAAGCAATCGGACTAGCGGTTTTCAGCAATAAGTCGAAAATATCACTTTTTACCAAAAATAACAAAAATATTCACCAAAATTAGAGAATTAAAGATATCATCACAAAATGAACAAATCTGAGAGAGGTCCACATGTAATACATACATATTTAATATCAAAGCAATCGGACTTGCGGTTTTTAACAAGAAGTCGAAAATATCACTTTTTACCAAAAATATTCACTAAAACTAGAGAATTGAAGATATCATCACGAAATGATATGAGGTTTCGAAGAAGAAGTTGAAATTGTAAAGTTGATTGACAGCAGACAATCAGTAATATGAACAGCTCCGCTGTGTCGACAGCGGAGCTAAAAATTGCAATGTCGCGCCTTCCTCCATTTTATTACGCAACACATGTCAACTACATCAGTCATGTTATATGAACATTGAAGCCAATACTGCTATAGGGTGATGGTACTATGACAACAGTAATACAGATTACCTGCAAATATTAGATCATGCAATTAGTTGCTATGATGATGACTGCATTTACTCTTTACACACTCAATAAATTAACTTTTTGATAAATCCAACCTGACAGGTTGAGTAGAATATTGTACTGTGCGTAGGTAGACTAGTGAGAAACTACTAAAATAAAAATTGTATATTTTGATGCAAAAACTTATCTTTTCATTATTTATTCTTTATTATTAGTTCTCACTTGGACGTTATTGTTTGTACTGATTTGGTTTTGTGTGTGTAGCTGCCTGTAAAACTATTATTGAGACCAAAAAACCAATGGTGGTCATTTAATTGTTTTTTTTAGATATGCCTGGGTCATCTCTATCACCCCCTCCCAAGTTGTCTTCAACTGATCACTACCTCCATGGTAATAATGTTGGCATTCAGATATTAGACTTACATATTCCACTTATCTCACTCATCTTACTGACATAGATCTGTTTTTTTTTTATTTTTTCTAATCAATAGGAATATAAACATCTGCCCTCAAACTGAAATTACAGAGGTGTATATTGTGAAAACACATGTAATCAGGTTCTTATGGCAGTAATGCTTAACTAAAATGGCTGCCAGTCGACCATCTTGTAATGGATCAAAAAAAATGAGGAAATATACATCCAATGGTTAAAATTCACAATAAATTCTGTGATGGAAACCAAAAAAGTGACAATCATAATTCCTGCTCTGGTGTGTACTGTGAACATTTTCCAATAAAACAAATAGATACCCCCAGTTGTCAGTCAACTGTTTAAATTTGATACAAACTTAGTACTGCCTTAT